AGGGTATATTCCAACATCGCTGATGAGTCTTGGGTTTACACTGGTCCTCCTCCTCCTCCTCCTCCTCCTCCTCCTTCTCATCCTCTTCCTCCTCCTCCTCCTCCTCGACAGCAGGCTAGCTGCGAGCGCTTCGATGCTGCAAGCCGCCTCCGCCGAGCGGCTGTGGTCCCTGATCCATGGGCCGCTGGTACCGACTGGTGGTATCTGGCTTCTTGCCACTGGCAAAGGCGAGGGTAAAAGAACCTACAGATCACGGATGGGCTGGGCGCCCGCCGCAGCTGCTAGGTGATAAGGTCCGCTTGCGTCCGTGATCATGCGGCTGCCGCTACCGTCGTCGTCGTCGCCGTCCTCCTCCTCCTCCTCTTCTTCCTCCTCCTCTTCCTCCTCCTTCCCCTGGTAGCCCATAGGAAGTCCCCTGACGCCGCTGGAGTTCTCCACAGGCCTCCAGAAGTCAACAACAACAACAGCAGCAGCAGCAGCAACAGCAACAACAACAACAACAACAACAACCACAACAACAACAACAACAACAACAACACCAACACCAACACCAACAACAACAACAACAAAGCGCACATGAGACTCCAAATATTCGAACCCCTCTCTCCCCACCTCTCCCTCCCCATCCCCTCCCTTCGAACCCTATCGGCCCTCGATGCCCCATCGATCCTCGAACCTCCTCCGCCCTCCCCCCACCTTCGGAGGCGACGAAAGGGGGGAGTAGCCCAGGGGGTAGCAATACGTGTATCCAGGGGCGCCGATGATCCATGTCTTCAACGAGGCCCCTGGAGGGGTACGTGAAATGCTCTCCCCTGATATATTCGCCCCTATCGTCGCCTCCGAGACCCCGCCTCTCCCTCCCTCCCTCCCTCCCTCCCCTGCGGCGTGCTGCCGGCAGGCCCGCGCCGCCTGGCGACCAGAACTCCAGGGGCTCACCGGGCAGCATCGGCGCACGCCTCCCGGGTCTCGCCCCCCTCGGCTCCCCCGCGCGGCACCCGGACCGTGCCAACAAAATAGCGCTAAGTCGGGCCTCTCCTCCTACAGGAGGGTTTTGGACGAAAATGAAAAATAGTCCAAAAATATCCAAAGATGGCCAAACAATACTCAAAAAAAAGTCCCCATATTATTTTTTGGCTATGTTTGAATCTTCCCCCTTGTGGAGGGACAGGCCTGACTTACAAATAGCGTCCTGGGAGTTCGGAGTCCGCGAGGCAACTGGGCAGCTGCGCCCTGACAATCACAAAGCGTGCCAGAACCCAGCTCCTGGGATTGCAGCACTGCGGCTCGAACTGGCTGCTGCGTCCCGAAGACCCACAACGGCGCCAGAATATGCTGTTCCAAGGATCAGCCCTACGAATCCTTCAAAACCTCTGCAAGCTTTCAAAACGAATTCGCGGGGCGCTAGTGCGACAGCGACATTGTTGAAAATGGCCGGCCCTTCATCCTCGAAATTGCTGCAAGCTTTTAAAACAAATGCACGCGACGCTATGACAAGAGCCATGTTTCGAAAACGGCCCGCCATCTATCTTTGACACTCCTACAATTGTTTGAAAAGCTCTGCGTGGCGCTACGGCGGGAGCCGCATGCTGAAAACCACCCGCCCTCCATCCTTGAACACGTTGCAGGTTCCAGGCGTAAGGATCGTACTACCAAGCGGGCTTCGCGCGCGCGCGCATGTCGAAATCGTTCGAAGGCCTTTGCGCGCGTGCCGTCGCGAGAATCCTTTTGCAAAGAACGGGAAGAAATGCGAGCGCGTCGTCGCGCGCGCATGCCGACATCCTTCAAATACCTTAGTTGCGTAACGATGTCAAAACCGAATGTCCGAAAATCATACAAAAACACACCAGGCTTCGCAACACCAATCTTTTATATAAAAATGCGCGCTCTTGCCAATTCTTGGGATTACTTTCGGTTTCTCAATATCTCCATGGAATTCTGCCAAACGGGCCTCTGGCGCCGCATGCCGACAGCATTCGCACGCCTTTGCACGCGTGCTGGGGGGGAGGAAGGTCCGTGTCAAATGAAACCATGCGGCCCAGTCTCGCGCGTCGGCCGCTCGCGCATGTCGAACTCTTCCCGAAACCTTCACCACCGACGCGAGGACGCCGTCATCGTCGTCGGTGTGATCAGCATCGGCGTCCGCACTGGCCGCGCCTTCGTCGGTGCGAACACCGTCACCAGCAACGCCACTATCATCATCGAGTCTACCGTAGTCGGCGACTCGCAGTGAAGTGCCCGCTGGGGTGCGCCCCGCCGCAGAGATGCACCAGCCAACGCCAAGCATGCATCGCAATCGCCACCGCATGGGTTTTGTAAACCTAATTACGGGTAAGTGGAATGTTTGCAAGAGCATTGAATGTGTCAACTCATGGGTAAAAACAACTGTACCATAGAGATTGCACCGCATAGATTCTCTTCTAAAAAGAGAATAGACTCTCCCCCCCCCGGACTTATCGGTTCCCCCTGGGATAATATGATCTCATAGATATTCTGCACACTCGTCCATCCTAAGTATGAAATCGTAGCATCCCAGCCAAACCGGTTTCCCCCCCTGAGGTTCCCTTGTAAAAAAACACTATGCGGCGACATGTTTTGTTCTAACATAACACTTTTTCACAAATCCCTTGCAACAAATGAATCGAAGTGCACACGCGCGCGTCGTCGCGCGCGCATGCCGAAATCCTTCAAAAACCTTCGGTGCGGGAAGGATTTCGTAATCGAGCTTACAAACAAAAACATTCCCAAACACAGGGTTTCGCAACACAGAGTTGCTAAAAAAACTTCCGCGAAAACTCTTGCGAAATCTTAAGAAAGCCATGGGTTTTTCAAGATTTTCACCAAATGCTACCAAAGGGGCTCCGCGCGCGCTCATGTCGAAATCTGTCGAACGCCCTTGCGCGTGTGCCGTCGCGAGAATCCCCTGCAAAAAATTTGACGAAGTGCAGACGCGCGCGTCGTCGCGCGCGTATGCCGAAAACCTTCAAAACCCATCGGTTTCGGAAGGATTTCAAAATCGTGTGTCCAAAAAACCTACAAAAACACAAGGTTTCGCAACACGGATTTTCAACAAAAGCGTGCGCGCGCGCTCTTGCGTCGTCGTCGTCGTCGTCGCCGTCCTCCCTCCTCCCGCGTCGTTGTCGTCGTCGTCGTCGCCTACGCCGTCCTCTGTCTTTCCTCGTGTTCGTCGTCGTCGTCCTCTTTGGCGTCGTGGTCGTTTCCGTCGTCGTTGTCGCCGTGGTCGTCCTTCCTCCTCCTCCCTCGTCGTCGTCGTCGTCGTCGTCGTCGTCGCGTCTCGTCGTCGTCCCTCCTATTTCGTCGCCGTCGTCGTCGTCGTCGTCGTCGTCGTCGTCGTCTCCCTCCTCCCTCGTCGTTGCCGTCGTCGGCGTCGCCGTCCTTCCTCCTTCTTCGTCGTTCGCGTCGTCGCCGTCCTCCCTCCTCCCTCGTCGTTGTCGTCGTTGTCGCCGTCGTCGTCCTCCCTCCTTCCTCGTTGTCTTCGTTGGCGACGTCGTCGTCGTCTTCGTCGTCGTCGTCGGCGTCGGCGTCGTTGTCGTCTTCGTCGTCGTCGACGTCGGCGTCGTCGTCGTCGCCGCCGTCGTCGTCGTCGTCGTCGTCGCGCGTCGTTGACGTCGTCGTCGTCGTCGGTGTCGTCGTTATCGTCGTCGTCGGCGTCGTCATCGTCGTCGTCGTTGTCATCATCGTCGTCGGCGTCGGTGTCGTCGTCGTCGTCGTCGTCGGTGTCGTCGTCGTCGTCGTCGTCGTTGTCGGCGTCGTCGAAGTCGTTGGAAACGTCGTCGGTGTCGTCGTAGTCGTTGTCGGCGGCGTCGTCATCGTCGTTGTCGCTGTCGTCGTCGGCGTCGCTGTTGTTGCCAAGTGCCATGTGGTACCCACCGTCACGGTCTTCAGAGATTTTGCAAACCAAGTTGCGGGTGGGTGGGTGGGATGTTTGCGCGAGCAGTGGAGTGGACAACTCACTGCGAACAGAAATTAATTGCACCGCATAGATTGCAACACATATATTGCATTGCATACATTGCACCATACAGATTGCCCTGCATAAGCTGCAAGAACCTACTGTTTGGGGTCCACGCTGACTAACACACACACACACACACACACACACACACACACACACACACACACACACACACACACACACACACACACACATATATATATATATATATATATATATATATATGCTTCTCTACACCTGTTTTTGTGCACTCCGCCAGGGAGCTTGTCAGGCCAGGACCTCTGGGGGCTACTCAGGGGTCAACCCAGGAGTTGGGAGAGGTCCCGTCCCGTCAGCGGCATCCAAGGGCCTCCCAACCCGCCTGGCACAGCCGTGGCGCTTAAGCACCCGCGCTGCGTCCCAGACGAGCTGACACACTTGCACCGCCGGGAGGTTAACGTCACCAACCCCTGAACCCCCTAGCTCTCGTCCTGGCAATCACTCGCGCGGAGGCAGGCACGGCCACGCGCGAGACGGTAGCAATGCTGCCCCCTGTCTGTGGGTGGGCCAACACAGCTACGGAAGATGGATGAAACTCAACCGTTCTCCATCAACGGCGTCGCGCACGCTCAGGTGGACTCCGCATAGGCTTCCTTGGAAGGTTACTATATGCTTCTCTACACCTGTTTTTGTGCACTCCGCCAGGGAGCTTGTCAGGCCAGGACCTCTGGGGGCTACTCAGGGGTCAACCCAGGAGTTGGGAGAGGTCCCGCCCCGTCAGCGGCATCCAAGGGCCTCCCAACCCGCCTGGCACAGCCGTGGCGCTTAAGCACCCGCGCTGCGTCCCAGACGAGCTGACACACTTGCACCGCCGGGAGGTTAACGTCACCAACCCCTGAACCCCCTAGCTCTCTCCACGGTCCCTACCCTGGCAAAAGCCGCTCCCTCTTGCTCTTACCTATTCCCTCCACCCTGCTGTAATGAAATGAGGGAGGAAAGGTGGAGGATGGGCGGGACAGACAGACAGGCAGTACAAAGCAAGAACAGTTCATCTCGCTTCTGCTCGCAGTCGGGACGCGAGCAGGCCGCAGCGCCTCCGCTGCGTGGGCGAGAGATTTAATTGAGTGGCCTCGGCGACGGCATCCTGAACATACAAGCGGGCCGTGCGCGCCGAGGCCCATCTGCCTCGGAGCAGCGTCTGCTCCATGGAGCCGTGGCTGCGGAAGTCGGCGGAGGCGCCGCCCCGACGCCAGCTGTAGAGGGTGAGCTTCGCATCTTGCAGCTCCAGCAGCTCACGCACGCGGCCAAAGGTGCTCATGAAACTGCTTGGCTCCATCCCGAGGCACAAGTCCTGCTTGTGCGCCTGAGCCTTTGCCCTGGCAAGGAGGGCGACCGCTACGCCGCTCCGCACGAGCACGAACTCTCGGGCACCAGTCTGATGCTGGCTCTTGGTGTTGCGCAGCTGCAGCACGGCCATTTGGCGGAGTGGATACAGCTGCACATCGGACCACACGAGCGAGGTCATCTCACCCGTCCGGAGGAAAGCGCCGTAGCCTGCTGCCAGCACCGCCGCAGCGCCGAGCTGGCCCACGGCCGCAAATGCCCCTGCGAACGCTGCCGCAATCAGCGGCCCGATCGGCAGCGCCCGCCCAGCTGGCTCCAGGCGTTGCCACGTCTTGGCCAAGCGCCAGCTGTCCCGCAAGTGCCCTCGCACGGGCGGGAAAGCGTGCGTGATGCCTGCAATTGCATTATTAATCTCAAACAAAGATCCTCCGCTCAGCCAACGGCTCTCGATGAAGGCGGCCACGCCAGCGTCGACCTGAGCGGGCGTCTGCGGCTGCCGGTGCTCCTGGATCCAGAAATCAACGACATCATCGACCGCCGCACGGTACCGCTGCAGGGTGAGTGGCGTGACCATCGACTCCCTCAGCGGTTGGGACCTCGCTGCAGCTCGTCGCGCCATCGCCTGGGCCGTGACCCGGCTCACCTTTGCTGCTGCTGGCACTGCACGCTTGCCGGGGGCGGCCCTCCTGGCCCTCGCCGGCGGCAGCACTGGGAGCGTGGCAGCGGCGGCCGAAGCTCCAGCGGGACGGCGTGTCGGCGGGCATGTCGTCGGTGTCGCAGTAGCCGTACAGCGGGCACCCTGCCGTCGCGAGGAGCAGGGAGTTGAGCCGGCGGAGCGCTGGCTGCAAAGCCCTCGCGCTCGATCTGCCTTTGGTGCTGACTGCCGCGATCGCTTGGGCATCCAGAATGTGCAGGTAGCGGCAGCGGTGGTTCTCAACTGCCCGGCACCTCCAGCGCGCTCCAGCCACCGCAGCCTCCAGCTCCAGCGCCGAGATGTGCCCAGGCCGCTGCCAGCGAAAGCCTTTGGCGATCCGCCAGGCCCAGAGGTGCGTACGGAGGGCTGCCCGCGGCCACGCGCGGGCGCGGTAGGGCGCCCCGGTGTCAAGCCGGACGTCCGTGCCCCCGCGGTCCGCGACCCTCAGGAACTCTACGATCAGGCTGCGTTCCAACTGCGGGTCGTGATGTCCCGGCTGCTGGAAGTCGGGGACCACGTTCCAGTTCGCCTCGCACGTGCCCACAGCGAGGCAGCTGCTGCCTGGGATGGCGGCCGCTAGCGCCCCCACCTGAGCGAGCCACGAGCCGAGAAGATACATGACAGCCTGGACGCAGAACGTATTCCCGATCAGGGACTCAATGACGCTGTCTCGCTCGGCGGCGGGGGCACTATCTTTTACAGCGGCCTGGAAATAGAGACGGTCGAACCCCATCAGAGCAGCACGCTCCTCAGGCACGGGCAGCCGGCCCCGCTCACGCCTCGCGTCCCAGATGAGGCTGCCGTCCTCGTAGTTGTTGACCTGGTAGCGGTAGCTGTCGGCAGCCCAGCGCTCCGCGGCCTGCACCGAGGCGCGGTCGAGGCCCACGGGCCGGAACGGCGGGTGGCGTCGCGGGATTGGCCTCGTGAAGCAAGGGAGGTCTGCCTCAGGGTCCAGTGTCGACCAGCCCTCCAGGAGCGAGGCACTCAGTGGGAGCCTCTCCACCGCAAGCGAGACCTTGAAGTACGCGGCTTCTCCCACACCCTTGGTCTCGACGGTGGCGTCGGACGCCAAGAACGCCGTGACAGGCCACGAGCACCAGTACAGGCGGGGCCGCCTGACGCGAGTGAGACACCTGGCATCGAGGAACACGGGCGTGACTCCAAGCGCCCTGGTGAACTCTGCCCTCGACTCTAGGGTCATGCTGAACACGTTCTCGACGAACCACATGGTGCGCTTAGGAAAGGCAGCCTCCGCTGCCTGGATCAGCTCGGGGACCCGGAAGAAGAGCCTCGACCTCGACCCCTCTAGGCCGGTCCCCACGACATTGATGCTCGCAAGGTCTTGGCACGGGCTCCCCGCGGTCAAGACGACCCAGTCGGCGTCCCGTGCGTAGCCCTTCAGCATCTCTGTAAACCGCGCCGCGTCGACGGCCTCGATGTTGCCAAGCTCAATCACGCCCGCCCAGCGGCGACGCACCAGTCGCCGGGCAGCGGGCTCAACCTCGCAGCTGACGTGGGCCATCACGTCGATCGGGAGTCTGGAGGCCGCCACCGCGGCCCCAGCAGCGCCTGCGAAGAGCTCGATGAGAACTATGCGAGGGCGCCACCGCACACCACGCACAGGAGCCGCAACTGCACCAGGCCGCAAAGTCACTGCTGATGCTCCCCCTCTCGCGCAGGCAACGCCCTGCGCCGAGAGCCCGGCCGTGTGGCAGATGCCCCCGGCGCGCTCGCTGGCATCGGTCGCAATGACACAAGTGTCGATCCTTGCGCGCAGGTCGGTGTATGCCAGCGGCAGCGCCATCGCGAAGCCCAAGAGCTCGTCGCACATGCCAAGGGGAACAGCCTGCGGGCGCGTCCAGCGCCCAGCAGCCCACACGCTGTTGAGGAACCCCATGAAAGGCCTCCTGAACTCCGCTGCCCTGACGCACCTGCCTAGGATCATGAGCATGCCCTGCGACGAGAGGCCCTGTCTGCCCATGCCCCACAGGATGAACGCCAGCAGCTGGTGAAGCTTCTCGGTTGTGACTCCGACCCGGCCGACGGCCCCGTCAAGTCCCGCGCCCATCCGCTCCAGGACCAGCGCGCGGTGCTTGGCCTTGCCGGGGGCGACGCTGATCCCCGAGCGGCCGTAGGCGGCCCTCTGCTCCTCCTGCGCGCAGCTCATCGTGCCGAGGAGCTCCGCGACCATCGCGTTGGGCACCACCTCGCCATGGTCCCAGTCGTCGATGTAGTACTGGATCCACTGCTGCTCGAGCTCCTTCGACTTGAACGGAAGTGGTCGGTCCTTGCGCCACTTGAGCTCCGCGGGAAACCCCGCAGCGAGGGGGCGAGAGCCGAACCCGAGGCGCCTGTGGCAGTGCTGAAACACCGTGACCGCGTTGATCCAGCCCATCGGGATGACGCGCAGCGCGAGGTGTGTCTTCCCAGGACCCGGCACGCCGATGAGCTCGTTCGGGATCGCCTCCGCGAGGGCCATGTACGGCTGCCAAGCCTCGGGCAGCTCGTAGCAGTAGAAAGCGGAGGCTTGGTCATCTGACGACCAGAGCAGCATGTGGCCCTCTGGGAGCGGGATGGCGACCCACGAGGGCGACGCGCTAAGGGTCCCGATGTCGTCCCTCATGATGCGCTGGTAGCTGTTGGCCGGGACCATGTTGATGATCAGGCGCTGGACGCACGCCTGGCCAGGTGACGGCGTGCCACCCTTGGCGACCCCAAACGCCCCGGCGAGCACCTTGCGGTTCCCGACCTTGAAGATGCGGTCGTCGGCGATCGGCGCAGCCAGCCCCAGCTCGACGAGCTTGGTCCCGATACTGTACCACTCCTGCTTGGACGTGACCTGGATCGCCGCCCGCGGGACCTCAGCAGGCCACTCATCTCGAGGGAGCAAGGCCAGCGTGGGGTCGGCAAGCCAGGCGCCCACCTGAGCGTCCGCGATGTCGACCGCCTTGACAGAGGCGGCGACGCCCCGCGCGGGGAGGCCTGGCATGATGCCCGCAAGCGAGAGTGGCAAGGCGCGGGACGTCTCCTCGCCCCCGTAGGAGACGGTCCTCGACGCGATGACCTGGTCCCAGTCCGGGAGCTCGAAAGCTGTGGCGGCATCCTGAACGAAATACTCACAGGCCTCCTGCACAATGCCGAGCGCACTGATCTGACTTGCCGTGGGCCGCCTTGCGGCGACGGTTGGACAACGCATGTGCCCCGTGTACTGGTAGTTCAGGCTGAAGACCACGAGCTGGGCCCACCCTTGCGCCGTGGCGGCGTCCACCTCGCAGGTCTCCGGCAGCTGCTGGTGCAGGTACCAGGCGGCACGGTACCTCTCGAAGAGCGGGGCGTCGGGCAGCGGTAACGGCAACACCTCGCGCAGCCGCGCGAAGCTGGCCGTGGGGTCTGGCGAAGTGCACATCTTACGAACGTGCCGCCCGATCGCCCCTGGCGAACCGTGCACCGCCTCGTGGACCGCGAGGGCGAGCCTGAACTTGGAGCTGACGCCCGTGCCCACCTCGGCTAGCATCTGGCGCCACCGCCGAGCCTGCGAGCTGCCGCGTAGCTGCCGCTCAGGCGGGCGGAGGGCAGGCAGGGGCATGCTCGGGGCCGCGGCCTTAGCCGCGTCGGCCCTCACGCCCGAACCCAGGCCGTCCTGCGAGCAGCGCTCGTGCCGCGGCTCTTCCCCGTCTTGCCTTTGCCGCGGCTCTTGGCAGCCAGCGGCCTCCCGATGCGCGCCTTCCATGCTGCCTGGGTCTCGCCCTCGCGCCTCGGGTGGGCCGCCTTGTGCTGCGCGAAGCTCCGGCCTGCTGCCGCGTCCGCTGGTGGCACGCGGGCGGCGGCTGCTGCGTCGGGGTCCCCCTCGGAGTCGCTCAGGAGCTGGACCGACCGCGTGGGACTGCGGCTGGCCCTCCGCGCTGCTGGCTGCTTCTTCCCGGCGGGGGGAACTGCGGGACCGTCGCCTGGAACTCGTCCGGCAAGGATCCTCATCGCCTCGGGCGATCCCGAGACTGGCGTCCCGGGAGCAGGGGGCGGGGGGCGCGCCTCCGCGCGCCCATGGCCTGCAGGCGCCGTCCCCCCCTGCAACGGAGACGGCTCCCGGCCAGACCCCTAGCCCGGCCTGCGGTCTGCAAGTCGCTGGCGGAGTTCGGCGACCTTCAGCTCCCGGGCCTCGACCTTCTCGGCAGCGTTCTCCTCGTCCAGAGAGGCGCCTGATGGAAGCTGTTCCTGTGCGACAAGCGTGAGCCACCGTGCCGACCGCCAGTTCCCGTCGCGGATGGCCATCGTCCGCGCCTTGAACTCCTGCATGAGCAGATCCGCAGTCTCGACGACCTCTCCGCGCAGGATTCCGTCGAGCGCCAGCCCCAGCGTGCGGAGGACTCGCACCTCGTCCGTCCCCAGCGTCCGCGGCGGGTGAGCAACGAAGAACACCGTGTTCAAGAACTGCGTGGCACACGGGGCCAGAGGGTCGGCCTCGCCTGCGGACAACTGCTGGGTGAACTGGCTGCGCAGGTGGCCAAGCCCGTTCTCGAGGAGAGCGCCGGGCCGCTGCCGAGCGATCCTGCGGAACAAGTCCCGCTTGATGTTCACGCCCTGGTAGCGGTCGCGGCCCCCAAGGCGCTCCGTGTCGCTCTCCGCGCCGTCCTCCGCGTCGTCGTCGTCGCGGCCCAGGAGCGCCGCGGTCAAGGCTGATGCCGGCCTGCTCCTCGACCCAGCGGCGCCTGTGCGCGCAGGGGCAGCAGCGGCGGCTCGGCCGGCCACCACCTGCGCCAGGCGCTCGCCTACCGCTCCTGCTGGGCGCGCAGCATTCTTGGGCGTGCCCTGCCTCGGCACACCACGAGCTGCCCTGCCCCCGAGCCGCGCCAGCCGCGCCTCGAGCTCTGGGTCCTCGGCAGTCTCCTCGAGCCCTGCAATCTCCTGGTCGAGAGGGCTCGCCTCTCCTGGTCCGCCTGGGGTCGGGGTGCCCTCCACCTCGCGGGCCCGCTTGCGCGGCGGCCCGCGTGGCTCCTCCTCGTCCTCGTTGCCCCCATCCCCGAGCGGCCAGCCGCCGAGCTCTCCAGGCAATGGCTCGGCCGTGGGCGCATCGGTCATCACAAGCGCTCCAGGATCCGCGGCCGGGCAGATGAGCTTCGCCTGCTCGCGGGCGACGTCGCGGGGGTCCACCACCTGCCACACGTCCAAGTGCTCGACCACTGCGCCCACAGGAGCGACCGCCCCGCACTCGTCGGCGCTGCACTTGCAGAGGTGGAAGACCGTGGCCAGGGGTCGCGCGCCCCGCTGCCCGCAGGAGGCTGCATACCACGAGAAGTACGGGTCGCTGGCGCCCACATGCCGGCCCTTGAAGTACCGGCCGAATGCGTCCGCCTGGTAGGCGACCTCCACCTCGAGCATCTCGACGCCCTGCGGCGCCCCGAAGTCGTCCTTGACCCGCGCCAGGACCCGAGCTCCAGCCGCCAGCGGCAGCCCCGGCACCAGCTCGCCGTTCAGCGCTGCGTCGAGCCAGGCCCCCCGCGGGAAGGGCCACCCGACCGCTGCCGGGGCTGCCCGCTCCATCGGGCTCCTCGCCAGCAGCACCGCGGGAGAGGGGCGACCCGCGCCCGGGATCCTCGTCTCCCAGCCAGGTCTTCGCTCCCCTCAACCCACAAAGGCTGCCAGCGAGGCTGATCAGAATCAGTCGGCCGAGCGTGGCCCTCCAAGCGGCCGCGCTCGGCGCGGCAACCTTCAGTAGACAGAGTGGCTCGGCAGCGGCCACAGACGGGCGGGACCGCCCGGTGACTCCGCTGCCTGTCTCCAGCCAACACAGCTACGGAAGATGGATGAAACTCAACCGTTCTCCATCAACGGCGTCGCGCACGCTCAGGTGGACTCCGCATAGGCTTCCTTGGAAGGTTACTATATATATATATATATATATATATATATATACAAGACTGCATTGGCGTTTCGCGCCATGCACCTTGGTTCTTAAAGCTCGGCATGCAGGATAACCAAATATAGCGATGATTCATTGTTGCCGTTTGCGCCATCGTCGTTATAGTAATGTTATGTATTATCCTTATACTTCCTCTCCTCTTACTCGTAATCTTCCTTGTCTGCGAGCCACTCCTTGTCCTCATCCCCAGTTTTTATTGCAGGGGCTCCTCTTTGGAGGTGTTCTTGGGCCCCTCTCAAAAGCTTTTTGGGGACCTCTGGGGGCCTCCTGGGCGCCTTTTGGGGGCCTCTGGGGGCTTCTTGCGGCCACCTTGCTACCAACCACGGTCTCCCTGAACGACCGGGTCACGATTTGGAGTGCTTCGGGAGGCGTCTTGGGGCCATCTGGGGCTGTCAGCGGGGCTCTCTTGGGGCCATCTTGCGGCCCTGTTGGACCATATTGGAGCTCTTTTGGACTGTCTGGAAGCCCTTTGACACCGTTGTGGGAGGATTTTGGGGGCCTCTTCGGCGGACTCGGACGCACGGAATACCGAAGAACCGAATGTCCAAAAATTCAATAAAAAACTAAAGGAAAGTGTTGTTTTTGCACTTGGAGGACCTCTTGGGGGTCTTCTTTGGGTCGTCTTCGGGCGTCTTGGGGCTGTCTGGGGCCGCGTGGGGCTCTCGCGGGGCCGTTTGGCCGCCCTCCTGACCGCTTTGGGCCCGCTGGCAAGGCCCGGCAGGGGCGTCCAGGAGGCCCGGAAGGCCCGGGGGACCCATTGCAAGGCGTCCAGGGGGCCCCAAAAGCGCCAGATCCCGGGGGTCCGATTTTCCGGGGGGGGGGGGGTCCCACCCTCCCGGATTGTAAAAATATAGGAAAGGGAATATATCGGGGAGGTGGGTCGGTAAGAAGGAGTGCAGCCGGGCAGCCTGGTAATCCCAGGGGCACGTGTAACTCCAGCAGGAGTAAGGCAAACAGTGAGTTTCGAAGATCTGACGTATTAGTGATGTTCGCCCTCTTTGATGCTCCAGAGCTTCCAGGAGGCCTCGAGGGACGTCCCGAAGCCTTCTGGGGACGTCAAGACCTCAAGAGACACGTGCAGACCACCAGACATCTTGGGAGGGAGGAGGACGAGGAATCCCACCAGCCCTCTGGGCGTCGGTGGTTTAGGGAGTTTCCTCTTCCACCCCTCCTTCTTCCCCTTCGGGGAGGGGTTTACCCCTCCCCCCACCCCCACCATCCCTGTCACAAAAAAAAAAAAAAAAAAAAAAAAAAAAACGAGTACACTTGGCGGCGGCGGCGGCGGCTGCGGCGGCTGCGGGGGGCAACGGCTGCGGCGGCGGCGGCGGCGGCGGCGGCGGCGGCGGCGGCGGTGGCGGCGCCGGCGGCGGCAGCGGTGGCGGCAGCGACTGCGGCGGCAGCGGCTGCGGCGGCTGCGATTTGGCAGCGGGGCGGCGGCGGCTGCGGCGGCGGCGGCGGAGGGCAGCGCGGTAGCGGCGGCAGCGGCGAACAGCGGCGGCGGCGGCGGCGGCGGCGGCGCGGCGCGGGCGGCGGCGGCGGCGGGCGGCGGCGGCGGCGGAAGCGGCGGCGGCGGCGGCGGCGGATTGGCCCTCAGTAGCTGGCCATCCAAAGACGACTGCTGCATATGCTGCGGCTCGGGCCAGGTTCGGGGGCTGCGTATGTGTTGGGAGGACGGGTGGGAGTGAGCGAGACGGCTTGCGGGCGGGGAGGGGGACTCTTGACCCCTCCCCCTACCCCTACCCCCTCCCCTGGACCTGGACAGAGGGTTTCGCGAGGTGTCGGAGCGTCCAAAACGGCCTCGGCGAGGAAGCCAATATCATTGGTTTTACTAGGGTTTGGGCCCCATGTTGGCCTCCTAAGGGGGGGACTGAAATTAGTACCCTACCCTCCTGTGATCGATCTCACCCAAGATGGCCCAAAGATGGCCCCCAAGGCTCCCAAGGGTGCCCCAAGAAGGCCCCAAGAGGTGGCCAGGAAGCCCCAAGAGGCCCCCAGGATGAGGTTCCCAAGAGACCCCCAAGAGGCCCCAAGAGACCCCCCAGGGGCACCCAAGACGCTCCAAGAGGCCTCGGCGAGAATGCCAAATCATTGACTGTAGTACGGTTTTAGCCAGATCTTGGCCTCTTGGGGGCACTGGTTAAGATGACTCCAAGAGCGCCTGGGAGAGCCCAAGATGACCTCCAAGATGGCTCAAGGTATCCCAAGATGTCTCATAATGGCTCCCACGATGCTCCAAGATGCCCCAAGACTGCTCCAAGACGGCTCCAAGTGGCCAAAGAGCTCCCCCAGGAGGTCCCGAAGAGGCCAAAACCTTAGGAACATCTATGTGTTTGGCTTTCTCGCCTTTTCGCTTCCGATGGCCATCCGAGGCCTCAGGATGGCTCCAAGATGGCCCAAGAGGGCTCCAAGAGAGGCTCAAGAGAGCCCCAAGACGGCCCCAAGGGCGCCTAAGAGCGCTCCAAGAGCGCCCCAAGAGCGCCCCAAGAGGCGATTTGTTGGGCTCCCGAGGGGCAACGCTAACTAATGCTCGCTTCTTGTTGGATCGATGTCCTCCAAGATGGCCCCAAGAGCAACAGCGCTTCAAGAGGGCCCAGAGAGGCGCCCAGGAGGCCCCAACAGGCGCCCAAGAGGCCTCCAAGACGCTCCCAAGAGACCCCCAAGAGGCCCCAAGGAGCTCTCCGAGGCACCCAAGACACTCCAATAGGCCTCCACTGGGGGACCCTTCCTCTGTGTGCTGCCCCCTTCCCTGATCGAGGCGATTCCCCTGGGCATCGCTTCTGGATGGGCTGGTGGGGCTACTTTTTTTGGTCGCGGCCGCGGGCGAGAGCGCAAGCGGCGAGTCGTCAGAGCGGGCCGCGACTGGCGGGTTTACCTTTTGATTCGCGGCCCGCAAGGAGAAGTCCAGAGGGCGGTATGACCGAGGCTGGGGCACAGCGACAGATATCTGGCGGGTTTACGCGAAGCGTCTAGACTTTCGATCGAGTCTTGCGTCTGCTGCCCTCTCTGGGCCTCTATGGGGGCGCCCTCGTCGCCACGGCTCCGTTGGCCCTGGGATCCTGGTGGAAGCGCACTCCGGCACTGATCGGGAAGAGGGGAGGGAAGGAGCAAAAGGATGGAAGAGGGAGGGGGGAGGGACGAAGGGAGCGGGGGAGGAGAAGAGGAAATAAGGTGGAGGAGGAGGTGTGAGGTGCACACTCCCGTTGCGCCAAAATCACCTGGCGCTGCTGAATTGGTACCTACAACTTTGCGCCTCGGGAAAAAAATCCTGCATCGATGCGCTATCGTTCCATAGCTGACTATGGCTCCTGAAGGCTGCTGCTAACCGTCCGCCATCGAGCGTGGCTCACGTACAACAAGATTCCGAACAAAAGGACAACACGAAGCAGACCTCCTCGGCACCGACCTCCGTGGCACACCCGCAGGGGGCGGCGGGCGCATCTGGAGGGGCCCCAGGACACACAAATAAATACACACAAATAAAAATAGTCCCCATATTTTCGCATATTTTCTGGGCTTCTGTCTTCCCCCCCACTTCCCATATTTTCCCATATTTTCTGGGGAATCGAGGATTAATTGTGTCTGTGTGTTTCTTTTCCTCCTGGGCATCAGCCTCTCGGACTGCGTACGTGTGGCCGGTCGGGCCAGGCAGGCTTCCCTCGGCAGGGGCAGGTGGTGCCGCCCGGGCAACAAAAGTCGGCTGCAGGCCCGTGGAGGAGTGAGAAGGGGCGGGCCTTCTCAGAAGGCTGGGAAGCCTTCCCCGACGACGCATAAAAGGCCTTCTCAGAAGGCTCGGAAGCCCCCCCCCCGCAGGCGTCCGAGAGATGTTCGAAGCCTTCCCCGACGGCGCACAAAACCGCTCAGAAGGCCTTCTCAGAAGGCTCGGAAGCCCCCCCCCAGACGTCCGAGAGATGTTCGAAGCCTTCCCCGACGGCGCAGAAAACCTCTCTCAGAAGGCGGGCCGCCTTCTGAGAAGTTTTGCCCGTGGAAGAGTAAGAAGGGGCGGGCCTTCTCAGAAGGCTTGGAAGCCCCCCCAGACGTCCGAGAAATGTTCGAAGCCTTCCCCGACGGCGCAGAAAACCTCTCTCAGAAGGCGGGCCGCCTTCTGAGAAGCTTCGCCGCCTTCTGAGAGGGCCGCCGCCTTCTCACTTATCCATAGGTCGGGCATGTCCCCCATACAAGCAGATCACGAACGAAAAATACTCAATATTATCTATTTGATTCTTAAACAACAGAAGTATCCCAGTGCGACCCTACCTAGAAGTTGGAGCCTCTAGGAGAGCAACATTAGTAGGAGCAGTAAACGCCATCCTCCTCCTTCTCCTCACCGTCGAAGTTGTAGAAGTAGCGGTAGTAGTAGTAGTAGTCGTCTATCGTCGTCGTCGTCGTCGTCGTCGTCGCCGCCGCCGCCGCCGTCGTCGTCGTCGTCGTCGTCGTCGTCGTCGTCGTCGTCGTCGTCGTCGTCGTCGTAGTCGTCGTCGTCGTCGTCGTCGTCGTCGTCGTCGTCGTAGTAGTAGTAGTAGTAGTAGTAGTAGTAGTAGTAGTAGTAGTAGTAGTAGTAGTAGTAGTAGTAGTAGTAGTAAGTAGAGTAGTAGTAGTAGTAGTAGTAGTAGTAGTAGTAGTA